CTCCCCCCCCCCCCCCCTTCTGTCTTGCGAACAGCATGGCGACCTTCGCGCTCCTCCGCGCATCACATGCCCCAGGAAACCCAGTTTGAAATCAAAATGGCCAAAGTCCCACCCCACCGCCACTGTCGCGACGGGACCCCCGCGCTGAGTACCGCCGGATCGGGCACCGTGCAGCCCCCCCGTAGCCGTGGGGTGCCAGAGGGAGCTGCGGGGGCCCCTATCCTTCCCCCCCTCCCCCTTCCCCACTGCAGTTATTGGGGGAGAAGCGGGGTTTGCCCCCGCGCACCGCTCGCTGATGCAAACCCCGACGGGGCGCAACGGCCCGAACCCCCCCCCCACCCCGCTCCCCACCCGAGCCTGAGCCCCGCCGGGGTCCCGCAGACCAGAGTAGAAAAGGCCGGAGGACACCGCTTACCCGAAAAAGTTTCGATGGCTTTCATGGCCCACTGTTCGTCGGGGCAGTCCACAAAGGCATAGCCGGACTTAACCAGGAACTGCCCGCTGAAAGAGATCTTGTGGTCGTTGAAGACTTTCTCCAAGTCGGCCGGAGTCACGCTCTCGTTTAGGTTCCCGATGTACAGCTTGTTCATGGTGGCTGCCGGCGGGGGGCGGCGGACGGGCGGGCGGTGGCGGCGCGCCGGGGCTCGGAGCGCGGCTGCCGGGGGGGCTCCCACCGAACGCCCGCACCGTCGGACAGCGGCCGCCCTCTGCCACCCCACACCCGGGGCGGGGGCTCGGTGCTCCTTTTCTTTGAACACTCCCTCCCCCCCCCCCCCGGGGGGTTTTTTTTGTGGTTTGGTTGTTTTTTTTTTTTTTTTTTTTTGGGGGGGGGGGGGTTGGGGGGGGGTTTTTTTTTTTTTTTTTTTTTGGTCGTTTGGCGGAGTTTTCCTCGCAGAGGGGTGCAGGCGGCTGCTGGACGGTGGGGGGTTCCTAAAGGAGGGGGCGGCTGTAGAGGGCGACGGCAGCGGGGAGGGAGGCGGCGGCGGCGCCGGCTGCGGGGCCCCCAAAGCGGCGGAGCGGCACCGGAGTGTCACCGGACGCCTTTCGGCAGCCGGGCACCGCCTCTAAATAAAACCGACCTGGAAAATGAGTGAAAATGTTTGCGGGAGGAAGCCACGTGGTGATGCGGGAGGGCCCGGCCCCCGGGGGGAGGAGCCGAAGGGGGGGGAGGGGGCAGCCTCCACTTCATTATTTATTTTAATTTAAATACTACGTTATTTACCTCCACACAGACACACACACACCCCTCTTCAGAGCGGGGAGCGCAACCGCTCTGCGTTCCCTTCGCATCCACCACCCCCCCCTCCCTCCCTCCACCCTTCGGGCCCCGCCCGTCCCGTCCCGTCGGAGGCACTTTCCCATCTGTGCAGCCTCCAGCCCCCACCGCGCCCCTCCCCCCATCGCTCCCCTCCCCCCAAGCCTCTTCCCCCGGTGCCTGAATGGGATTTTTCTGGGTGTAAAAAAAAAAAAAGAGAAAAAGAAAGAAAAAAAAAAAAAAAAAAAAACCTTCGGCATCAAAGGGGCCGGGAGGTCCCCTGGCGCCAGGGGAGCGGGGCTGCAGGGGAACGGTCCGACCCGGCGGGGTGAGCGGAGGAGCCCCCGGGGAGGGCTATTGTCCCCGGTATTGTTTTAAGCCCTTCATGTGCAGCCCTGCGGAAGCCTTCGGGGAAGGGGGAAGGCTCCTCCTGGCACAAAAGGGCCCCGCGATACAGCGGGATCGCTCCCCGCGGGACCCGGGGTAGGGGGTGAGGGGGAGGGGAAGGGGGGGGACGCGCCCCGTCGGCGGAGAGAAGCAGCCCCCCATCCCCCCGTCCCTAGAAACCCTCCCTCCCTCTTTCCCTCTTCGCCTTTTCTGGAGGCTTTTTATTTTTAGGCTCGAGATGGATTGAAAATAGCAGCGACCCCCCCTCCCCCCCCCCCCCACCCGGCACCACCCACCCGGCCGCCTTCCTGCTGCCTCCCCCGACGGGGCGGGCGGGGGACCCCGGTGCTCCGGGGGCTCGGGGCGGGCGGCTGCCGGGCGCGGAGGGGCGGGGGCGGCCGTGACTCCCTCCCGTACATGTGGAGGCACGGGCCGGCCCCTCCGCGCCTGCAATTAAATGTAACGCGCTCCTGCCTGCCTTGCCCGCCGGGCCGGAGGTTCCGTTTTCCCCGTCCCATCGATCAAAAAAAATAAAATGAAATAAAATAAAAAATAAAAATAAAAAAAAATTAAAAAAAAAAGAATTAAAAAAAAAAAGAATTTCCCGATATAAAGAATAACTTTTCCTCCATTGAAAAAAGCGTTCCGGGCGCTGTTACCCCCAGCGATATGCGGGCACTGCGCCCACCCTCCCCCCCGCACCCCAGCTGGGGGTGGCGCAGCGCTGCGGTCGGGATGGACCCCCCCCCTCCCTCCCCCCGCGCTGCTGAGCTGCTCTTCGGCTTCTCATCGTCCGTCTCTCCGCTGTGGCACGGCTGGGGGGGGGAAGAGCCACGTGGAGAATTTGTTAGTAAATAAATTTGGTGGTATTATTCGAGCAGGAGAAGTTGGGAAAAGCTTTAGAAATCAGCGCACCTACCCAGGGGTATTTCGGTGCGTTCAATGCTACGGCCACGTAGGAAACTCGTCAGAATGAACGATTAAAAACAAAAAAAATCTGGGAAATTTAAAGCGAAGAGCTTTCAGCTCCCCCTCCTCTGTCTGATGCATTCTGCTGTCCTGGGCTTTTGGCTTTCCAAACACAGAGATGCTGCTCACAGTTTGGTGCCGTCCTTCCAACTGCATCGCTCTCCTCACAGCACCAAACCGAATCCACCAGAGGGGTTTGGATGGAACTGCTGTGTCTGTGTGTTTCTGAGGCAGCATCAGCTCCGCGTTCACAGGTGGGAAGAAGAAAGTAATGAAATTTGAGGATAAATCTCCTGCAGCTCCCAAAGTGGCTGAGAAGTGGAGAATTCACCTTCACACACAGACATGTCCCACAGGAGCAACTTATTTGCTGCCTGCTTCACATCCAGCTCTAATCTGGTCCCAAATGTGTTTGTTGTTGCTTCTTCTTTTCTTTTTTTTTCTTTTTTTTTCTTTTTTATGCTGATTTATAGAACACCTTCCCCGTGCAACACAACCCTTTAGCAATGAAATGAAAGAAACCAACCCCAAAATAACAACAACCAAAGCCCTAACAAAGAGGGAAAGCCTTCCGTTTAGACCCACAACAAGCAAGGCTATCAGTCAACCTCCTTCCCTCGGTGGAGCATTCCAGATGTAAGGTATTTAGGGAATGCAAACAGCAGAGCCCAAATCATTGATCTGCTGGGGGTTGATAGGGCTGCTCAGCCCTGGGCAGGAGGAGGGGCAGCTGCCCTGCAGTCCCAGCTGCCCCACTGAGAGCAAAGCTCTGCAAACCCCCCCCCCCCAAAAAAAAAAGAGGGGAAAGGGCTCAACCTCACCAGGAAGCTCAGCAATAATCCGGTGTGATACGGGGAGCTGAGCTCTGTCACATCCAACAGCAGCGTGGCCTCGTTCCTCCCCCAGCGCTTCCCTGAGGTTTTGAGCTCCCTCTGAGGAGCGGATTTCTTTGTGCAGTTTGCACCACGTTCCAATGGGTCCCTCCATGCTCTGCAGCCACGTGAGGCTGTGTTTGATTTCATACCCAAAATGTGACCCGGGTTAGAAGCTGTTTTTTGGTTTGTTTTGTTTTCTGGGAAGGGGGGAGGTTGCATGGTTGATTTGTTGTTGTTGTTTTGATGAAGGATTTCCACCTTGGAATGAGGCAGAAAGGTCCTTAATGAGTTTTTGTGATTACTGTGCAACGCCAGACAACCCCTGTTGTCATGCAGGAGTTTAGGAGAACTTTATTAAGGTTAATTTAAAAAAGCAAAACAAAACAAAAAAAAAACAAAAACAAACGGTGGGAACTGAATGGTGGATAATGCACCTATGAGTGCAAGGGCTCAATGTGGAAAGGTGCAATTCCTGCACAGTGGTGAAGCACTGTTGTTGTTGTGAGGCAGAGGAAAATTAAAGCAGGGATGATCTCTGTGGCAGAGAAGTGGTGAAATGGAGGAGCTCAAATCCTGCTATCTTTTCAGGCAGTTGCCACTTGATTTTGTTTTAATTTGTTTGGGTTCTTTTTTGATTTGGTTTGGTTGCTTTTGTTTTTAACATCTGGTGATGGCACTGCATTTCCAGTTGGGCAACGCAGAGAAACACCTGAAGCTCTGAACAACACTCATTTCCCAGAGCTTTCATGTATGGCTTAAGTCACAATCAAACAAATGTGGGCTGAAGGATTTCACTGAAGCACTTCTGTCACAGAAGGGGGGGGGAAAAAAATCACCATTTGATTCATGCAGAATCTGTTACAAACAAACCTCAGCCACCAGAAATCAGCCGAGCACAGAGCGAGGCTCTCCCTGAAACACAGGTGAGAACTGAGCAGAATGAGAGGTGTGAGGGTGCAGCTGGGGAATATTTCCTTTCTCTTACGTGGGATCCCAGTTCAAACCACCTTTTGTTCATTTTTTTTGTTAGGAGGAAAACATTTGTGAATGAAAAAGGAATCTCCTATCCGTGATCTGATCCCATTGATTAAAGCTGGAGCGCAGCAATCAGTTGAGAATCAAACTTACTGCAGAATCACTAATTGGATTTCAAACAAAATTCCAGCTTGGCATCGATTATTAATAATTTCCTGATTCTCTGTGCTCTTTGGATACAACTCTGATCCCCAAGGGCTGCTTGCTGAAGCTCAGGAGCAGAGCAGCATCCTGCCCTGGGGGGAAATGGGGGCTGTGAGCACAGGGGGGGTCCCATGGAGCAGTGCTGAGAGTGGGGATGGCTCCCAGTGCTGTCCACATTGCAGCACTTGGGTTAAAAGCCCAGCACACGCTGTGATCAACTCAGGCTGCAGCATCAGCTCACTTTCTAAAAAAATCCTTTTGTTCTGCTGCTGAAAGATGGGGCTCCTTCCCAACTGCAGCGAGCCACAACCAAACTCTTGTTTTCTTCTCCCTCCATCTGCCTGGGAGCTGCTTTTGCACAGGGCAGGGTGCTCTGCTCTTGCACTCCTGCAGCAGCAATCTGAATTCCCCACTGGGGCTTTGCAAACGTTCCGAGAGCTGTTCAGACTTCAGCAAAACAAAGCTGCTTTGCATCGAATTTTTTTTTTTTTAATTGTTTTTAATCGTTCTTTATTTTTTTTCCTGCCACGATGGAAATGATTCGGTTTCGTTTTGGCGCTTCAGTCCTTTGCTTTGGCTAAGAGGTAAATCCCAAATGCAAGGAGAGGGAAATGCTGATGGGAAGGCGCCCTGAAATTGTGCTGTTCAGAGAGTCCCTTTAATTTTTCATTCCCCCCCCCCCTCTTTAATGCAGCTTTCAAATATGCCCCCACTTCTTTCCATCAGACTTTCCTAACGTGCCAAATTGTTGTTTTTCCCCCCTCAAAATCACTGCAAGCTGTGGGACAAATACCTGGAGCAGCCATTCACCCTCTGGGTGGCTGGAAAGATCCATGGCTGTGAAGGTGGTGGGAAGTTTTGCTGTTGGTGCAGTGATAAAAGAAACCAATGTAGCCCAGAAGGCATCGTGGGAGATGGATCCTGCCGTTGCTGAAC